GGGATAGTCTATTCGGTGAAGTTCCATGCTAATATATGACGTCACCAAAATCCTTAGGGAGTAGCGAGCCAATCAAAGCTCAGCTCAGAATGAGCAAGCAATACAGGGCTTGCATAATCATTCTTCAGTAGATATATTATTTGATGGGGGTGGGGATGGGTGCTGAGTGCTGGTTTGCGTCCAAATACCGATGTGCTCGATGTAATGTGACGGCTTTCACAGAGTTGTCCAATTGTCGTTATTGTTTTCCAAATTCACAGGAAAAGAATTACGGTTCTTATATAAGACAGACATTACTAGTAAACAGCACGACAAAAATCTCTTGAAATTCTTAACGTAACGTAATTCTTAACTGGTTTACAGGCCAGGCCGATACTAGCTGTTGCCAAAGATTTGCCGGGATTCACTGAATGGACACAATTGAAGACCTTTGAAACTCCAACATTACACTCGAACGTTCCACATTTCGTCGGCTTGATGATATAAAAGCAGTTTACAGTGAAATGGATTAATATTGATTATCAAATAATTATTAAATCTACTAAATATAGTGAATGCAAACAATTGAGTATGAATTGACAATCCGTTTAAAATTGATGAAGAAAAAAAAAACTTAGCAATTTTGGGTTTTATTGCAAAACTATAATTATCAGGCAAATAAGAATAATTAACATAAATGTAAATTCAGTTTAATAATGATGTAAGCATTTATGCCTTCATGATTAAACAGATGCACAAAGATGTTTTTGACTACAGCTAAATTAAAGCTGTAAGGACTCCATAGTGGATAAAAATTCCTTTTCCGAATCTTTCAGACGGATATGTTTACTGTTGGCATGGAAACAGGGGGCCCGAGGTAGGGTTGTCGTACGTATTCCATATATGGTATTAACTAACAAGCGTATAGAGGCCCCTAACAAGCGAATAGCGGCCCCTAAGGAATCCCAATTTACCGGTGCTATTAGCAATGCAAAATACTTTAAGTGTCACAAACAATTCGTTGTTTGCCAGCGTAATCTCTCGTGGTCAAGTTAGTTAAGGCGCTTTACATTTGTAGTCGAAGGGTTAGGTTAAGGGAAAAGGACGGCTCAGGCTATAAAATGTTAAATTCATAATTCTAAGTTAAAATTTGATAAGAAAATTTTTAATAAGTTAAGTAGCTAAAAAGCTTGAATAAGTCGATAAAAAACTGTAGAAAAATATACAAGTGAAAAAAGTATGGACCCCTGTTCGCTTGTTAGGTGTTTCTATTCGCTTGTTAGGTGCTTCTATTCGCTTGTTATTTTGTGCCATATATGGAATACGGGCCCCGCATCAGGCCCCCACGGGAGGAATGATCAACGATCACAATAGGTTCCTTGGCCCCTGGGAATCACCGCCTGGTGTGTATTTATAGGTAACGTAATGATTGATCGCCACTTCATGCTTCCATTCCTTGCAAAGCGTTTAAAGCTATTGATTCAACGTCGAAGTTGGGTTTCCGTCTTCGACCGGCACCTGTTGAAGAGCTATAACCAGCATTGTTATAAAAAAATAGAAAATAAATGGAATATAGTTAGGACTTTTTTCCTTAATTAAATCATCAGTGAATCATAAAAGACACAAGTTGGACGCTCTATTGTTGACGATAATCTTCTAAAATTAACAACGCGATTACTCTTAATTGAAGCTCTTATTTGATACGTTTATTGAATATTTAATTGTGACACTCCTTTGTAGGATGTTATGTACTGAGTGCATTTGTCATTGATTAATTAATAAATCAAAGGCATAATTAACACGATCGATGTACGTGACTTGAAGTCGACTTTTGTGCAATCTTCGTTTTAGATACTACTACTAGTATTTATTATCTAGGGGACCAACATCAAGAAAAGAAACAGTTTTTTTGACTGTAGAGAGCTGAAACTTCGCATAGATGTGTAATAAATTAAGAACAACACATTGTGTGAGTTTGAATTCATTTTATGAAGATTTCCTACTTTTATTGAATTTTTCGTTTTTCCCCACAAGACCTTCAGAGAAAAGCCGACAAGTGTAGTGCTTGGGCTACCTGTGGAAATCTTAGATTTTGCAGGCCATCTAATCTTGAATTGCGAGAGACTTTTTTCTGCCAATCTACGACTTTTTAGAGCATTTTCAACACTTTTTCGCCTCATCAATTCTTTAGCAGTAGTAAATCTCTCATTTTTTGAACACGAAGACATTTTTCATTCAAGTAGAAGTTCAGAAAAGTACGTACAAAACCTCATCAACACATAACAAGAGCGGTCGCCATCTTTGTTTTGCGTGATGCAATTTCGTGACAACTTCCGRTTTGGGCGTGCGCAGAAAGCGTGCGCAGTAGCAATGCCCTCGAAGCGTACCTGTTTAGTAAAATGTCTGTGAAACATAGTCCAAATCACACATCAGTTAGTATGAATCCCATATATAGTTACACCTTGCCGACGTTATCAGAGGAGTACCATTATATGGCTATAATATAATGGATTTAATCTATAGTTAAAGTCTCAAAAATTAGCACGTCCTGATTAATACAATATCACATCRTAAAGGAA